AAATTCTCCCTTTTTGCCCGAATTTGCATTATGGGTCGTAATGAAAAAAAAAAACATTTTTTTGAAAAAAAAAAAAAAAAAAAAAAAAAAAAAGATTAGACGTAAATAATTTTCAAATCTCGAAGTCACAGCGGAAAGTGATAAATAAATTTAACCGATTCGTTGAAGGAACATGCGCGCCATCCAAAGGATCTATTGGTGATGGAGATGGGTCATCAGAGTAGGTTTCAATCCATCTTCCAAATGATTTCATCCTTCACTTAATAACCAAGCCGTCAACCTACTTATCAAAGAAAACAGTCATCCACAAATGAGACAAAAAAATCGAATAAACAAGCAAAAAAAGGGGTTGATATCATCGAAACCATTCACGAAGCCGAGAATAATGAGGATTACAAACACAGATTTAGGGTAAGACATGAGATATGGAATTCTCGTAATTTCGCCTTTCATTAAAATTTTTGAAAATAGATAGTGTTTGAACGATCTTCATTTACCCAAGAAAAATATCAACTTTATTGCAAATATCAACGCAACATTCATAATGACGCGGAAGATGAATTGACAGTGAGAGGATTTCGAAGGTTTTTAGTGGATTCTCCGTTACAAGTAACTCAAAATTTCTCGCATTTTCTTTATAGCAGATGTTACTTTATGACTGACAATCAAAGTAATTTTTTTTTTCTTCATCATATGAAGTACGAATCGCCAGGGGCGCCAAATACCGTGGAATATGGATCTTACCATCAATGCTATTTCCTGGATGACGAACTAATCGCGGTTGCAATTCTTGATATTCTTCCTAAATGCGTGTCGTCTGTTTACTTTTTTTATGATCCGGACTTTGGGCATTTACAACTTGGAACTTATAGTGCCCTTAGGGAGATAGCTCTAACAAAGGAATATCATACTTCCGGACTGGAGGGACTACACTGGTATTATATGGGTATGTATTTATTTATTTTTATTTTATTTTATGCGTAGAATTACATCATTGGTGACGAATGTTTGTTCGCTATCTTCAGGGTACTACATCCATTCTTGTCAAAAAATGAGGTACAAGGGAAATTATAAACCATCAGAACTTTTGGATCCCGTATGTACGGTATATCATTTGTTTCATAGTTAAAAAGAAATAAATTGACGCCATTAATTATCCATAGGACATTTATGCGTGGTATCCGTTTGAATATTGTGCACGCCTGTTGGATCAAAATGAATACGCCTCATTTTCCAAATCACTAAACAATCCTGGCGCTGAAGAAAATAAAGAGCAGCTTGAAAAGGATACTTCTTCTTTACTCCCGCCACCGGGGATGCTTGACCCTAATAGTATTTCTGATGACGAAATTAAAGATATTAGAATCAATTTATATAAAGACGGAAATATTCTTCCGTTCTATGTAAGATTTTTTATTTCATTTAACGATGACAATTTGTGAGTTTTCACTTACGGCAACTATTTTTTTTTTTTTTTCTTTGATTCTTTGAACACTTGATTTTGCATTGCAAGATCATACAACCATATGTTGACGCCAGATTTAATGAACATTTGAAAGAATATTATGCGGCCGTTGGACCGGAATTATCAAAAAAGATGATATTAACTTGTTATTAACGATCGAAAATGTATCTTTTTTTTTCTTAATGTATTATAAGTAAAAATTGCGCGAGCTTATAAATTATGCAAACCCGAAAAATCAAAGTCAATTCCGCCGTTAATTTTTATAGGATGAGCTTCAGTGTTGAAAACATACTCGTCCAAAGAAATTAGATTCGGATCGCTAAATAAAAGATAAAGATATTTGAGAGTCTCTGCTAAAAAATAACTATACTGTACATCATCCCAATTATTTTCGCTATTCTTATTTTTTCCATCGACACTCCTGTTAGTTTTGCATAGGCCCGTGTCACTGTGTCTTCTTCCACCATTCCCTTTCCCTTGCATTACGCTCTTTAATCCCGAAAATCCCGAAGGAGTTTTGCAGTGCTTTACGACTTGTCTAAAGATTTTCCACCCCCATTCCTATATTTGAACGTCAGAGACGAGTGAGGGACGTGAAGATGAATTAATTAAGATTCGACTTGAGACTCGGCCATCAAATCACGTGATTGTGGATCGACTTAATCCCTGGAATGGTACAAAGGAAATCATACTTGATATTTTATGTCACCGGTGACTCTATGAGCATAAAAAATACTTTCTACCACCTCTGGACGTAATAGATATCTTGAATCAGTAATAAAATATCGAAACTCATGAAGCCGTTGTTGGTTCGGGAGGGTCAAACCGAATTCTTCGGGACCTAACTGAGTAAAGGTGGTTAAGTATGTGTTGTAACAGGTGGATGTTAGAGAGAGGCCAAGGCGTAGGAGAGATTGATCGTGAAGAGAATGCGCGCCGAGAATAAAGTTTCCTCCGGCGAAACATGTCTTTATCCCAAAAAAAAAAGATTACATTAAAAGACGCATGAAATTATAAACCACGATGTCAAAATTACCAGATGTTCCATCCTGAAAAGTGGCATATTGTTTCTCCATTGAGCTAGATACTTGAGCTCGGGAAATTCTTGAACGGAAACGATCAAATTCTCCATGGTTGATTGCACTGCTAATTTCCACATGTCGATGTATTGTGAGGTTGTTCCGCGAACCATCACATATTGCTTTAGAAGGTACTGAGATGGGTATCAATCGACTAATTAGAAATTCTAGTATGGAAAAAATCACATCACATAATCGTACCTCGTAAAAACTATCGCCATATGCACCCCATGAAATCCAATCTATAATTACGAATTTGACTCTCGCGCATAAGAGTTGTGTGAAATTTGAAGATTGTTTCGCAATTTCTTACCGTTAATAAAATGTCCCCTGTCTGGATTTATGAAGACCGGATATAAACCCGGTAATGTGGTTTTTTTGGATTGAATAATGTCAAGAACTTTTTGTGTCTGAGTTGAAGAAGAAAGGATCAGAAAGCGATCGTACGTAATCCGCCAAGTTGTCGTGTCGATTTGTAGACTCTTCCTTTTTAATCTGTCTCCAGCACTAAGTCTATGTTCACAGATCATGGGTAAGGTACCTTTTCCAAATAAATTGGATCGCCGGTCAACTCGCTCAACCTCCGGAACTCAAGTTGTAATGTGCCGATTGCTGCCAAAGAAGTTTCCTGTCCCATGACTCCTTTCTTCTCCACAATATCTATTTGTCCCGTGGGAATTCCTGTGGGTGTGTCGAATGCTGGTAAAAGCAGATCTCCCAGAAGTATCGATTTGTTTAGGTAGAGTTCGTCTTTGGTTAGGTCGTAGGCCGCGAGCAAGCCTCCTAAATTGGAGGTTGATATCAAACAATGAATTGCTTTTTTCGTAAGGACACATGTTAACTCACCCAAATATCTAATAGTGGTTTCAAAGACGCTGGCGTATCTTGATCCACAACCCTGCTTCATCTTAAAATCCAAATTATTCCTCACAAATTCTCTTGCCTCCTGGTATTCTTCCTTGAGATCCATAATGACTAGTGTATCCAAGGAATCAATTATGGTCACACCCCAACAATTAAAATAATCGGCGGTTCCATTTGACACTGGACGAAGTTCATCGTGACCCCAGGCATATTTACGGTAACCATTGTAAGAATGAAGGAACGCTTTCTTTATCGAGTCAGCACGAAATTTATTTATGCGGTCGGCAATTTCGCTGGAAGATTTGAAGGTGGATGCGAGAGTCACAAAGGCAGCATATCCGAGTGCAAAACTGACAACATCAAAAAAACTCGTAATAATTAGAAATGATGAGGGTGATAATTTCATTCTTTGGGGTCGATATGTAGTATTCGCGCACAATATATTACCATTAACCGTGAATGTTCCAAAATATAAACGAATTGAAATGCATAAAGTAAACTATCACCGCTACCTTCACAGTTTGCTCCCCAGACAGATAAACTCTAGTCTGGTGCGTTTTGTGATACATTGATTAATAGAAAAGTTCCACATAAGCAAATCAAGATTTGGTTTGATGGGTTTTTGGATTAGATTCGGCTTTTGAAGATTAACCCATTAACTCGAATTCGATGATTAATTCATACGGTCAATGTTTTAGGTTGGTTAAACGGATCTAGTCTGATTCAAGGATCCCAAAGATTCTGGATTCGATTTCATTCCTTCACACGTGGGCATCATTCTATTGTCAGCATTCGAGGCAAGCAACACGTGATCACGCTTACGCGAAGACGCGTCTCTACGACTCTAGCTTATTAAGCTCGGCATACTTTTGATAAGTAGATAAGCTATCAGAAACTTTGGGATAGACTCTGTATTAGTAAGCAATTAGATAAACTATGATAGATAGATTGCGAAATAGTAAGTATAAAAAGAATATAAAAACAGATAGATAAAAAAAGATTAATAAAAACACTAGTGGAAGAAAGTAAAAGATTAGTTAGGAGAGAGCAAGTGGGGGTGAAACACTTCCTCAATCAAATATTTCTGTCGCTTGTGTTCATTTGGTTGCAACTTAGTTACGCGAAACCATCCCGAGTTTGGCGATTGACTCGTCGTTAAGCTCTAATACATGGTATACACTGTATAGCATATAAATATTAGTCTGCATTTTATTTAACAAAATAAGAATATGCTGTATATTATCAAATCAATGTCTGGTTAATTTTTGAAAATAAGGTGTGCCAATTAAATTATCTCTGCTATTGATAATCCCCAGTAATTGGTAAATTGTTAAAAACGAAATGTCAAACACATGATTCGTACACAGGCGACATTTAAACTGCGAAAGACAACAGCCCTCATACTGTACAAGTATAATATAAACGCTTTGACCATATTTCGATGCTTGGTACTTTATTTCAGAATACGTGATTCCTGGTGAACTAATTTCATCATTAATACAGTATGTCACATGATTTGATATCCTATATGCCAAAAAGAGTGTCTTCCTTTATACAATTGCGATACAGAGTGTAATTAAATGGAATTAGTCAATTAGAATGACTAAATTTTCCGAGACAAACTCTAGCGGAAAAAAGGCTTACTGTAAAGGATTTGGGGTTAAGTGTGGAAATAAAAAAGGGGGGACTATTAGGGAAAAATAAATTACAAAGTGAAGATCTGATATGCAAAATTATAATGATGGTTGATTGGTTATTGGAAACATAAGAGGAAAGAATGCCAAGTTCAATCATATAAAACAAAATTAATCCTCGGATCTAACTTTCTTTTATGTCTTTCCATCATCTCTTCCCCGCCCTCGTGACGGCATACCGTTACTAAAATGTCCACCGCGATTGCCCCTGGGTATAAATCCATTTCCACCTCTACTAGAATTACCATTGAATCCATTTCGATAACTATTATTATTAGAGTAAATTTGATATTGGTTCACAAACTTGTTGTTACCGTGCACCTGCGGAGAACGCGAAGTGCTAATCGTCGGTATGTGATAACCGTTCACTCCCGGGGACACACTGACACCATTATTATTTCGAGGTCGACCGAAATTCGCGACTTGTTTCGAGTGCTGCGAACCGTTTGTTCCATAATTCTGACCGGAATAAACATTGCCACCACCTCGGCTACCGCTTCCACGAAAATGGTAATTATTAAATGATTGATGCCCGTTATGATAACCATTCTGCATTGATCCTTGAGATATTCGTGATTTACCGAAATGGTTATCCGTTCCTTGTCGGGAACCATGTCTTCGTTGATCAACAGATTGTTTACGAGTTAAATTAAGGAGTGCAGATCCGGGCACGGTCATTCCGCGGAATGAAGAACATCTATGTTTGAATAATTGCGAGGTTATATTTGATGAAATTTTTGCACACATGAACAAAAATAAAAACTAACCGATCGCCCAGAGTAGAGCCGCTCATGAAAGAAGTGTCGAATAGCACATCAATATTTGATTTCTCAATGCCAATCACTGTACCTCTGGCGGCGATTGGAACATTTCCAGAATCTTGAACAAAAATAACCCGATCTCCCAGTTCGAAAGTTTGACCTTGTAACCGTGTAGATGCATGTTCGGGCTTAAGCAACACCTTAATAGGAAGTAAATTATTGGTCTTAACTGATTTTCCTTGGCTTCAAATGACTACCATTAATAATAATATATACGTGCAACATACATGTCGCGGAATCTTTTTGACAACGAGTTTTTTTAATGTCTGATTTTTAGTGAACTTATCTGCATAATTTTCGATTTTTGCGATAGACTCCTAAAATAAAACAAGAAAGAAACCAATCATAAATATATATAGGACTTATCATTACGGAGGTAACTTCAGCTCACCTTATCTAATTGCTCTGATTCCAATGAAACATTTTCAAGATCTCTTATTGTAACAGTCTTGAGCCACTCTTTAATTGCATTTATCTTTGTCACCGCCTCCTCCTCAGGAAAAAAATCCTCCGCCGAATATATTTCTAATGAAAATTCGTGTTAGAATGTCCTATTTATTCGAAAAGAAGGACTTCACACTCTGGGTAATTTCACCACCTTCTTTGTGCTTATTTTCCAGCCCTTGAATAAACTCTGGGAATTTTTGCTGATTTTTTTCGACATGTAAACATCGTTATCCTCAAATTAACTTGTAGGTCAATGCACGAAAAGGAATTGCATAAGCAACGAACCTTACCTTATATAATGACAAGATTTGCATTGCCTTTTCACTGTACTCCCATCCTTCCTTTGTCTTTCTGGTATAGCCCAATACTTTTTGTTTTTTCGCCTCAAATTTCAAGTTCAGGCCCAGGTTGACCCGTTGATCGGTGGGCCCATAGATCACGTGTAAACTGGCGGTCAGCTTACTTAGGGTTAACCCACTCATGCCCAACTTCTTTGCAACAACGTACGAAGGAAAATATTTCACGCGCTCGGAGAATTCCCGTGCAACCTTCTTGCCAAAATCGGGTTCGTCGTACTTAGGATAAGGCCTCGCCTTGGTAATTCAACAACAAAAAAAAAAAAAAAAAAAAATATATATATATATATATATAGTATATACATGTATATATATATATATTTTTTTATTATTATTTATTTATTTATATAAACAAGATTTCAATCCTAATCAATGCCTAAGAATTAATTGGTTACGTTCGCATACCAGCATCACGGCTAAATTGTTTTTTTTATTTGCGATAACTTTCCCGGGGCACCCATAGAACGGGTCTCCTAAAAAAAATACCTGAGTTCCGTATGGAAACTCTTCTGAAATAGGAATGGCCGGTTTCTCTTCGTATCGAGGATCCTCACATTCTACGCTTTCCACCGTCGTCTGAATCGCATAATCGACTTCTTCCCCCGGATTAGCATACTCCTTCACCGACGCGCCAGTGTTCATCCTTTTCAAACCTTAATGAACCGAAATGCTTAGCGCCGAGATGTATATTAGGTCCTTAAATTTGGTAACATACCTTTAAGCATTAAGACATGAGCAATAACCTCTACAGAACCTGTGATGGTTCCATATCTTTTATTATAACCTTGTTCCAACCTATCAGCTTTCTTACGCCAATATTCAAGTTCCTCTGGTTTATGATTAATTCTAATGGTGTCTCTCGATAGAGTAAGGGGGTGAACAAATGATTCGTACTTAGAATGTGCGTCAGACACTGATTGCACAATAGCCTCCTGAAGGAAAGGCCAACCTGACCCAAAGTGAAATCCAAATCCTCCTTAGCACGAACACTCGATCACAAAATTGATCAAAAAGAAAAAGAACGTACTGACAAATATCCTGCTTCCAATCATTGCCTTTGCTATATCTTCTGTTTTCATGCCCTCAAATTTATTGGTCAATGTGATGACCATTGTTTCATTCCTGAAGTGAAAAATTGAATTACATTCGGAAAACAACCAGAAAATATAACCAAAATTTGAAAAGAACATAACTCACTTGCTTTCGGAATTAAAAACATGGACACCATGACGCTCAAGGGATGCCGTATGAGGGATTGTTTCCAACGATGGAAAACCAGCCATAGCTTTTGCACCCAATAGAACACCATCGCAAAGTCCCTTAACGAATTTCATCCCGTCAACAGTAGGAAGGTTGTAAGTCTCCTTACGGCAGTGACAATGAAGAAGATCTGCAATGTTTATTAGGTCATTGGTGTTGGCAAATACTTTTTTTGTTCTTTGTAAAGAAGATTGCAAACATTAATCGAAGAAATACTTGCCTGGAAAAAACCCTGGCAATGAAGAAGGATATGTTTCATTTAAAGTAGGGTCATAAGTGAACATTAGACTTTTCCTAAAGGTGTTTCTCCGTTTCTCATCATCAGTCAATCGGTCTTCTCTCGCTAATAGACCAAATATTAATAGGGATACACTTACTCGACTTATATATATAACACTAACAAATCACTCAATTCTCACAATTTAATGCATCAATTAATTTCTTTTGATCAATAAAAGGAATCTTGACCACTGCTTCCCAACTTTGTTTTTTCCCATTCATATCAAGGTCAAAATCACTGGGATAAAAGTCAATAATTGGAGAAGAGGGATCGGTCATCAAGTCCTGTGGAGAATCGTGATATTACTATGCGAATCAAACATTATTACAATCGATTTTTAATTTGATTTTAATAATACCTGATAAGCAAGGGGTATGAATTTTTTGCTTCCCTCTGGTAGGACTCCCATCAGCTGTTCAAACGGTTTAAATGGTCGTCCATATTCATATTTTATTTCAAACCTTTCCAAATTTTGCAGGTCTGAGACAAAAACGAAAAGCATGAGTGATGGTGATAAATTAAACAAAGCTTCAATCTAATAAAGTACCCGATATTTTCGGACTATAGTGATAAGGGTAGAACCATCCCCAGGATGCAACACCGTTATAATAATAATGTAACACCCATTGTAACCCTTCTAAATACGAAAGAACTAATTTATCCATCTGCTCCGAATCATCGTAGTTAATTTCCATTTTTTCCATATAATACTTTTTTTTCCAGTCAAAAAAATTTATCCTCTCCCTTTCCTCAGAAGTGTCCAGCTCTTCGACGACTTCTGCATCTTTGTATTTCTCAAATAATTTTTCTCTTGTTTCAAAGATTTCATCGTCAGATTTATCCTCAGATTCATACTGCACACTTATATGCTTTTCGCCATTTCCATCACGTTCCTCCGAACATCGAATAGATAATTCTTTTGCCAGATTCTTAATAAACTCGCGATCTCGAGCCGGATATTCGGTCGGAAAATGAAAAACCTCATCGGAACGAGTTTCAATCAGATCTTTTATTTGCTCGAATATGTCTCTCTGTTTTGGTGTCATCACTTTATAATATATAAAAAGATCAAATAAAATGACGTGAACACTAACATAAAAAACATCGTTAATATAAATATAATGTAGATACCCAATTTCTTATTTTTTCTATCTTCCTCGATCTGCTCTTGATACTTCCTCTGTTTTCCCTTGAACCATTTTGAATCAGCATATTCCTCTTCAAAAGTTTCCTTTTCAAAAACTGATAATTCAATAAATATCATTTCTAATCTTTTGATTTCTATTCTTCCACCGTCATTAATGTAACCACCTGGATCCAGGTATGAATGCGTAAATATGGTAAATTCCTGTTTAAGTCCGACAACAACATTTCAACTTACCAGCTAATGGTAAAATCTTTTTGTATACACGAAACATCGATCCGAGTGCTCCCTCAGCAATATGCAAATTAGGCAAATGAGGTATAAAATCATTGCCGACAAACAGTGCCAATAAAATGAAATCGTCTATTATTCTTTCAAGGTTGTATTCGAAAGGAAGGGACTCGCGAAGCGTGGAAAACTCGAGGTCCAAATATTCGCGCATGAGGGATAAATGCATGAGGTAGAAATTTTGTGATTCTAAACGTCTAATAAAGATAGTAATAAATCGGTTGGGTAAATTTTTATTGATATTGCCAACAACTTACGCGTTCACGAAAATATAAAACCAACCCATTCTTCTTCTTCTTACTGCTAGGACCAAAAGTGACCTCCTCTCTAAGCAATGCAAAGTGAGGATCGTGACTTATAAGCCCCAGCATGATTAAATCTGCATCCAGCCCGTACAAGCAATGTCTAACATTAGGATTGTAATCGGACTGGGCTTTTGCATGACGAATATACTCCATAATTTTGTGTTCGCCTTCTCCTGGAACCTCATGTCCAGATAATACTATTTTTACACCTCTCCAATTAGCGTCCTCGGAAACTTTTTTGTTTATAAAATATTCGAGTTGAAGGGAGAGTTTTGCCATAAATTCAGTGCCTGGTCAATTCGCACGGAAATTAATGCAACTATTAGATATATGTAAATATCATAACTTTCAATCGCGAACTAATTACCTGGAGTAATACAATTACTATCAAATGGCTCTTCATCTGGCAATTTATCTCCTTTTGACTCTGCTTTTCGAACAGCATTTGCTGCATCTTTTGCGGTTCTAAATCGTCTGCAACGTTGTTGATTCATTTTAGCCCTAGGTGCAACTCCTGTAAATTTAAGACGCGTGTAAATTAAATTGCCGTATTGGTAAAAAAAAAAAAGTGATTGAGAAATATACCGTCTACTGCCATAAAGAACATTTGTTTCGGTTTAATTTTTGTGAATAGGTGATCAATGTAGTTGAATATGTCGAGGAAAATGTTTTCTTCTGATATACGATAGTGCGCATCCGAATCATTAGGGTGGGAGCAATTGTGAATGATGCCATTCATGTCAAGGTATAGATTATCTGCAAATTAAAGAAAAAGTGTTATTTCTAGTATGTGGTCGATGGACGAAATCAACAACACGAGATTAAAAAAAAAAGTTAAAGTACCAAACTCTGGAATCCTGTATATCCGCGTCAGGCAATCAACGCAACCGAGAAAATGAATACTTATATAACGGGCATTTTGAATAAGCTCAAGTGTTGACTATTAAATCTTGCCTGTTCTCAGTTATCAACTGACTGCATAGCGGATACCTCTCACTTTACAGTGGTTAAAATAGTGCAGTTGAGAGTTTAAGACAAGGCGTCAATAATACTCTCGCGAGAATGGACTTTCGAATGTCAACGTTTACCTCATCCATCGAAAGAACTTTGGAATTCCCATTCTAAATTATCTAAACTTCACAACAAAATTTACACAAATCGGGGCTTAACCTGTACTTTTTACGGCTTCTCTGAACACTATAACACCAATTCTCAAAAACCCGAATGGAATTCTACGATCTCTAAGTTATAAATGAGAAAAATAGCATTTCATATTTCTCTAATTATGCGCACGTATAAGTCACCTGATTAGTTAATCTAATGACTAACAGCATTTTTAGGCGCTTCCGTGCGTATAGGCGCTTTTGCATTTGTATTCAAATAAAGATTTCCGGCTATATATTATTTCATCCGAACAATATTGGATTTTTTGCATATAAAACATTGGTTATTGGATAAAAAAGAATAATTCTTATGTACATGGAATTTTACAACTTCTGTTGCAAGTAACAAAGAATCGATTTGAAATAATATTTAACTTTTAATCGCTTGTCTTTATTTATAAAAATATATTACATTTGTAGATTTTCTTAAAAAATTATTTTTCTTGATATAATTTAATTAAAAAATTTTTTTGCAATAATCTATTAGTGACATTATTTATTATATCAATTGATTACTTAGTACATAATATATTCAAGTATTATAAGCAAGTAAAATTAAATAATATGACTAACTTATTTTTATATATAAGTACTCTAATTTTACTTCTAATTAAATTGGATTTATATTTATTTACTAGGATCATTATTAATCATTTATCACTATTGATTAATTCAAAAGATCATGAATTATTAAGATTAAAGAAAAAAAACAATGAAATAAAAAAAAAAAAAAATTCAAATTTCTTCAATAACAATAATAAAATAAATAATTTTTTCTTAAAAAAAATTTATCTAACTGATTTAAATTTGAATCTCAAAAAAAAAAAATTTTTTTTATTACTTGTAATATTTAAATAATTGATTTAATATTATGAATTTTTTATTTAAGAATATATTAAATTGAAATAACTCAAAAAAAAATAAAAAATCTTAATTTTTATTCCATAAAGTTTTATTACTACTTAAGAAACTTAATAGAAATAGAAGTTAACAATTTATTTTATTTATTTTTTATTCTAAATTATTTTTTTCAATTATCAATAATATTATTAAAACATATAAATATAATTTATAAAAACTTTATTTATATTTTATAAAATATATTTTATATCAGTAATTAATTATATTTAGTACATTTGTGTTATTTCAAAATTCTAAATTAAATTAAGATTAATAAAATTTTCAGAAAATTATAAAATAAGAGTTTAAAAAATTAAAACAATCAAAAAAAGTAAAAATAAGTTTTAAAAATTATAAATAAATAAGAAAAGATAGAAATAGTTCTTGTAATTATTTTTTCAATTGTTTTAAAAAAAATATTAAAACTTTATTAATAAAGAAATAATAAAATTTCTTATAAATATCTTTTTTATATATAGTTAAAAGATTAATATTATTACTTTAAAAATATTATATTGATTAAATAACTTTAAATATAATTTTAAAAATAATTTATTATTTTATTAATAATTTAAATAAAAATTCTTTTAATTATTAATATTATTATTTATAAGTTATTATTATAATAATTAATTATTTTTTTTAAAAAAAAAATTTTTTTTCTATTGATCTTTTAATTATATATAAAAATAATATTTATATAAGTTTTTTTACTTTTATATTAATAAAGTTCTAATATTTTTCTTAAAACAATTTAAAATATAACTTACATTAGTTAAAATTATGTTATTCATCAGTCAAATTATTATTGAATTGACAAAATATAATAATAAAAAGATTGATGAATCATTTTCGATTACTATTACTTAACATTAAAAATATCAACAAAAAATTAGTAAAAAAGTTTTGATGTACTGTGGCAAAAAAATTTGATATAAAATCCAGTAATATTGTATAAAAAAAAAGTTTATATATTGTAATAAAAAATTTTTTTTACATACTGTGATTAAAAATTTGACAAAAAAAAATAATATTGTAGTAAAAAATTCAATAAAAAAATTGATACTGCAAAAAAAAATTTAGCAAAAAAATTACTGTAATAAAAAATTTAACAAAAAATTGATACTATAATTAATAATAAGTCCCTAAAGTATTTAGTATATAAAGTTTTACAATCACTTAAGTTTCTTTTTGAGGAACAAAATTTATAGTTCTTCACTTTAATAAGAACAAAAGTCAGAAAATACTATAAATTAATAATTTGGATAATGGAAAACAACTATGGATAGTTTTTTTATAGTTATTAATTTAAAAATTTTAATGTTTTTTAGTAATAGACATTTGACTTTTGTCCTTGCCTCTCTCTTTAGGGACCTATCTTTAATTATGATAAAAAATTTAACAAAAAAATTAATATAGTGGCAAAAAATTTGACAAAAAAATTACTGTAGCAAAAATTTAGTAAAAAATTTGATACTGCGATAAAAAATTCAATAAAAAAATTACTGCAAAAAAAAATTTGATAAAACAATTGATACTGTGATAAAAAATTTAGCAAAAAAATTATTATAGCAAAAAATTTGGCAAAAGTTACAAATCAAATATTAAAATTCAATATATATTCAAGAAGTTTACCAAATTTTATGAAATTTATTAAAAAATTATAAAATTAATTGACTAAATTATTTATCACTTTTCTTTTTTCTTCTTTCTTTTCTTTCACTTGCTTTTCTTTTTTCTTCAAAGATTTTGACTTGACTTTTTTAAAACTAGCCCCAATTGATTTTATCTTATTAAATATTTTTGAGATTTTTTATTTTTTTCTTTTAATTTAACTGTCCCAAATTTCATCCATTCATACATTTTTCTCAGTTTGTTTTTTATCTTCTAATATATATATATGATTTTTTCTATTTAATAATTTTTATCTTTTGAATTTAACTATCAATTCTTTATCCTTTCTATCTCTTTTTCTTATTTATATTCTAAAATCTTTTTCAAATTATATGCTCAATTCAGTAAGCCTTTTAATAGCATCATGTTATAAAAATATAAATTGGCATAATATTATTTACAAATTAACTAAACACTTGAATTGATTTTGAATATCCATTTAAATATTTCAACAAATCCTTTAACTATAAATAATTATAATTAATATTATAATTATTTGACATTCTACAGTAATGAGCTGTAGGCAATAATCTGAGTGGCTAAAGGATAATCCAAATCACAAAGGGGGCAAAATATCATTCCCTAAGTTGCATCTAGAGAAGGTTAAACTTTGTAGACGGGTGAGTCAATATGTGAAAGTCATAAAA